TCGCTCGCGGTTTGAGACAAAAGCATCTTGACGTGCGTGGCACGTCTTTTTAGCGCAAGTGGTTAAAGAAATTTTAAACGATATTCATTTTATGAACTCTTGATAACGTGACCTTCGAACTTCGACACCGGTTTCGAGCTTTGGTGACAGATATATCAGACATGCACAGCTGTTTCCCTCTATGATGGAACGGAGCCACAGCCACGTCTGTTGCAGAGAGGTTTTCCTTCTTTACAATACATATTCTTTGATTCTAATCTCCATAGTACCGTATACTAGGATTAAACCCATTTTGTTTTATACGAGAACAGGTACTTTCTTTAGTTCATGCACTGCACATGCGATTCTCGAGAATACTGGAAACCAAAAGTTGCGGGAAAGTTGCTTTGCCTTTCTAAAAGACAATCAAATTGGAGCTGCGAAAATTGGCTCTATGCCAGCTACCCGAATGACACTCACCTGATACATAATTCGCCAAAAAAGTTACCTCTTCCGACGACGGCGCAAAAATCGCTTTTTTTGGCGGGAACGTTGTATGAACTTCCCTGACTTTTCCAGATTTTGACAAAAATACTTAAATTCCCTGACTTTTCCCTGAATATTTTGGTCAATTTTCGAATTCCCTGACTTTTCCCGGTTCTCCAGGTAGCGTGGCAACCCTGTTCACAATGTCGCTTCTTCCACTGTGACTTATTATGAAGTCACACGCACACGTTGCAAAATGCATAGTTATTTCCTTTGAAGGATTCTTTAATTGTTGGAAATGAAATTCGGCTTTGTAGGCAAGCCGAAAATATTGAAAATACGGTTTTTTTTTAACTCATTTCGTAACAACGACGTATTAAGAAAATTCGTAGCACGTGCAAACAAACAAACAAAAAAACAACAACAAAAAAAAAAAAAAAAAAAAAAAAAAAAGAATGCGACAATCCACGCTCGCTGAGTAATTCCCTTGCTGCTGAAGCGAACGCGAAAAAAATAATTTGGCGCCCACAAAGAAAAGAGTGGGAGAAACAAGTTCAGCGCATTGGATTGGCTGGTTAAGCAGCGAGTTGGGAGAAACCGCAGGTTACTGGATTCGAAGTAGTCGGTAAAACACGATGCAATTGGCGAAAAATTCTAAAATTTCGAAAAAATTACTAAAAACACTTGAAAAAGGAAAAAAATCGTAAAAAATGGAATACGATCGTAAAATCGTAAAGATAAACGCATTTTCATAAAAATTACGAAAAATTCGTAAAAGTTGGCAGGTATGAATTACATAGCAAAGCACAGTCGGAAATGACACGTGCATGTAGCAGCGTACACAGAAAACATCAGAAGTGGAAAAATATCATGTAAGTAAATACGCCTTACAATAATTATATTCGTAAAATAGGGAGAGATCTAAGTGCCCTTCAAAAGCTGAAAGGCATGCATCGCCTATCAAATGAATGGAATTATAAATATTCTGGAAGACTGCAGGCATGTCTCGGGCTTTCCTGGCATCTACTGCTATGTAGGCAATCATCAACAGTGATAGAAGCAAGATAAAATTTAGCGGAACAACTTGTCTTTAGTCTCCAATCTCATAATACATAGCCAAATATGTATTGATAGCTGCGAGTCGGAAGATTTTTCCTGAAGGTTTTCGGATATTTGCAAATCAAAGGTGAAATTTTCCAATTAGCGGTTTTTGTAAAGAAATGTGGAGAAGCGGTAATAAGTTAAGAGAATATAAAAGAAGTTTTTTACTGTGGTGACAATGCTCCTCAATCATCAATAAATTACCAGATGGCGAAATCTGTAGTATGATTCTAGATCCAGAAAATACCGCTACATGAAAGAATTTTAATTGACAACTTAGTCAGAATTCTAGACACAGCAATTAAAGGACTTCAACAGCTTTGTAACTGAATAAGAAATGAAACAAAAGCACAAAAAAATGAAGCAACTTGAAATAAATGTTTATTAAAGTAAAAAAATAACTACAGTACAAAGTCCGTAATCCTGACTCGTTGGGACTTCGGCAATTCTGGATTAGGGGTTTTTCCGGATTACAGATCATCAATTTAAATCTGGTAAGCTGGTATGCAGAAATTATACTATTAAAAATATGAAACCGTAATTTGTGAAATAAAAAGCAATTATGATCTATAGGGTATCAAATTTTACAAAAAAAAAAAAAAAAAAAAAAAAAAAAAAAAGCTTAATATTCGTTTACTTCATTAAACATTTCTTTCAATGTGCGTATGCCCAAAGCATATGCACGTAATGTATGCGCATGTGTAAAGTTTGTGTCTTTGAGGTCCGGATTATAGATCATTCCGGATTACGGACTTTGTACTGTATTAAGCCCCCCCTTTTTTTTTTGTAAACTTTGACCCTTTTAGATCATAAATGCTTCATTATTTCAAAAATCACAGTTTCATTTTTTAAGTTTTATTATTTTTACATGCCATCTTACTTGATTTAAATTGATGATCTAATATCTACAAAAGTCCCAAATCCGTAATTACGGAAGTCCCGACGAGAGTTCGGGTCTGGGACTTTGTACTGTATATAATAATTTGATGCATAGTCGTGCTGCCCGAGTGGAAAGACGAACTGATGACACTGAAATAAATAAATTTTGAAGAAGTCCTAATCCTTACTTTCACGCACATAAAACCATCTTAGTAGATCCAATCATAATAAAATACGGTAAATCCTATGTACACTGATTTTAGATTTAGTTTGATTAAGTTAGACGTAGGCATTTTAGATAGGACGACATAAGTGGCGCAGAGTTCTTTGCAGGTTCGAAAATGAGGCAGTTAGTTGTGTGCGTAATTATACCGAAGTAGATGCAATTGTAGAGACAAGCTATGATTGGTTAATTTTAGTTACTTTTTTTCCAAGCAGTGTTATGTAACATGGAAAGATCTCGAATTTGGAAGAAGAGATGAATTTAGGGGGAAAGCACCAAATCTAGAATACAGTCAAAAGTCTTTAATCCGGACTCGTCGGGACTTCGGCGATTCCGGATTATCGATTTTTCCGGATTATAGATCATCAGTTTAAATCTGGTAAGATGGCATGCAGAAATTATAAAATTAAAAATATGAAACCGTAATTTATAAAATAATGAGCAATTATGATCTAAAGGGTATCAAAATTTACAAAAAAAGAAGCCTAATATTTATTTGTTTACTTTATTAAACATTTCTTTCAACGCGCGGATGCGTAAAGCATACCTTACGCATAGCCGAAATTAGAAAATTGCAACCAGAAAACTATTTGATTTGTATTCGTGATATTTATAATGACGAGGAATTTGATTTAAATCATATCAAAGACGGAGTACATCGAAATTAAATACTACATTTAGTAAGGAATTATAAGCACAATAAAATAAAAACATCTGCCCTGAAGATAACGGATAGTGCTGACAGATCAACTTTCCAGTTCATTGCGCGCCGCGACGTCCCCCCCCCCCCGCGCAGAGCAGCGTGAAATTTGATAAACAGATTTCGGAACGGTTAGAGAAACAAAGGAAATATGCTTTATCCATTTTTTGTAAAGCAATTCCACGTTTTTGTTTGATGGACATCGAAAACATACTTTCGTTTTCTAGATCCTTTGGGAGCTCCAGCATCGGAAAAATTATATCTATTTATTTGACATAATCGAAAGTTCAAGCTTACTTTTAGAAAATTGCTCTTACAGTCTTCAAAAAATAATAAGCCGGATCCAATTCGAAGATTAAGGAACAACGCAATTATCAACATTAACTGAAATAGATAATTAGATAATTTTAGTTTATACCGTCCGTTATGCATTAAACGCGCACGCGAAAACGTATTCTGCACTTGCGCACACGCATATGCGCAGTAGTCAAGGTCTTACGCGCACGCGTAAACGCCTGTGTGCATGTGCCAACGCTGCGCATGCGCAGAAAGTTTTTAGCTTTGAGGTCCGGATTATAGATCATTCCGGATTACGGGTGTCCGAATTAACGACTTTTGACTGTAGTTAATTTTGAGGTCGCCAATTATTCTTAAAGCAGCTATCGTATTTTGTTATATCTTACACACACACATACATATTTATATATATATGTGCAAGATATAACAAAATACTATATACATATATATATAGAGAGAGAGAATTTATAAGTTTTCTGTTATTATGTACTCCATTCTCATTAAGATTATTCAAGCCTGTGTATATGGAGAGCTGAATTCAAGGCTGTTTTGTAAAGAGTTAAAAGCATGCATACGCTTACCTTTCCACAAAGTATTTTCTTAAAAGAATGTATTTTGCATCTCTCCATTTAGTACAAGCAATAATTCTTGATTTTTTTTTTCCAATCTCCTATTAAGGTAATTTTTTTGGTTCAAATTACTAATAAAAATTCAAGCACTTAAAAATTATTTCATCTTCATTTATTTTAAGAAATCCTGAAACCACATATTACAATAAAATGTATAGACATTCCATACTTAACACATTACAGATTACATTACTGCTGAAAATTAGAACTGCATACCTAGTCTTTATATTAGCACGGAAATGCATTTCAGGCGTATAAGATTTAGGTCGAAAGAGTAAGTTAAGCATATGGTTTTCAGCTATTAAGACGGAATAATTTTTTTATTAAACTACCCCCCTTTAACTTACATTCTTTGCTTGTCACCAATAAGATACCCATCTCAGTTTCAGAACTATAATTTTAACTTCAGACGCTGTCAAAATTACTTGCTTCAGAAATTTACAATAATTAAATTCAGTTTCATCTGATGATGTTGAACCAATTTTGATACCATTAATTACATTCTTTTCTACTATGAAAATTTAAAGTACTGTTTTGTCTTATTTCGTTACAGCTGAAACTGCAATGCGTGTGAGGGGCAATATATGATTCTTCTCATATTGCAACGCAAAAAGAATTACTTATTCTCTACATTTAAGATAAGGAATTTCTTTCACTTGTGCTGGTATAATGACACACAAAACAAAAAAATAAGACAAAATACCAATTCTAGGTTTGGTGTGTTTTATTGTCCCACAAACACATACAATGAAGTAAGATGATATAAACTCATGCTACAAAGTAACAGCAATGACAATTTGCATGTAATGAATTAAAAAAACAGAATGAAAATAATTAATAACGTCGAGGTCCACCTCCCATGCCACCCATTCCTTGGGTGTTCCCGAAGTTCTGACGAGACAGGTTTCCCATATTTGGGCCAGAGTTGTATGAACCTGGAAAATTACCTTGTTGACCAGGGCCTTGATATTTATTAAACTGATCCTGACCATGAAAATTACCACCTGGTCCCATTCCAAGGCCCATATCTTGCCTTTGGGGAGGTCCCATATTACTACCTCTCTGAGATCCCATACGTCCCATATCTGGCATCCTTTGCTGCCCCATACTACTATCGCCCATGCCTCCACCACCAAAATTTCCTTGGGGATTCATATTTCCCATATCAGACATGCCACCAAATCCTCCTCTTTGAAGACCCATCATATCAGATGAATTACCAGGGCCTCTCTGAGGTCCAGGCATTCCCATACTCACACCACCCCTTGGTGGGCCCATGTCTACATTTCCTGAACCTCTGGGTGGAATATTTCCTCCCATTTCTGACATACCACCTGGACCTCTAGGTGGCGGCATATTAAATTTTCCTCCCATGAGATCAGACGGTGCTCCCATTCCAGAACCACTGCCTGCACCTGTTTTGGATGCACTGCCAGAAAGCGTACTCTGTGAACCTGGCATATTAGAACTGGACAATGAAATACTTTTCAATAAATTGGGACCACTCTGCATTAAATTATCTAGTGCTTTCTGCACACTAGGATTATCAAAATTTATGTAAGTTGCAGTCGCAGCAGGATCACTTGGTAAGTTTGGCCCAGATACAGCAGAAGTAAAGACCGGCTGATTGGTTGATTCAGATGTAGATGTACTTGATTCAAGACTTGTTTGATTTGTCACATTTTCATCCACAGATGAATGGGCAGGTCTACCAGACTTCATGGCAGGCATAGCAGAACCTACTGCAGAAGGAGGTCGCATATTATTTATGCCAGGACTCATTCTTGGTTGATTAGACCTATTTGCAGGTATATCTATGTTTGGCATTAAGCCTTGATTTAAACTGCCAGCTTGAGTATTCCCTAAACCAATTGCAGGAGGTGCACCTTGATTCATTATGTTGATTATACGATTCTGAAGATCTTGCTCTTTTTGGGCCACATCAGGATCATCTTCTGCAGAAAGAAAAATATATTGATTATTGTGAATAAAAAAAAAAAAAAATTAAAATATAATCTGAGAACATAAATCACATTATAAAAACAATTAAGATACTTTATACGTTTTCTGTATGTCTAGCTAAAAAGTAATGAAAGCTAGCTCAAAAGAAATATAACAATTGCATCTTAGATAAAATACATTTGATAATGTAGAAATTAAAACTAAAAATAATATATAAAACTACCAGTTTGCTAATTAATAAACAGCAGTAGTAGTGATATATTATCTACTGTAAATACAAATGTATTTATAGGCTTATAATAAAAATCAAATTTTAATATGTGGTCACCATGACTTCCTTATATGCTTATTAAAATGGTACATATTTTTTGCTGAACTTCATTTAAACTTATTCCCTTGAATTATTCATATTTAATAAACAAACCCCTCAACACAAGTTGAAACTGATATAAAAAATTGTAAATTTTGAAATTAAACATCCTGGTCAGTTTTTGTTGTATGAGAGTCAAATTTTTCTCATAATAAATATACAACTTTCCAAAATACAAGTATAGAAACAGGGAGACCGCATTAAAATTATTCTTTCCTTAAATTTGAAATTTTAAAAGCCTGAATATTTTTGTCATTTAAAACACTTTTATAAGTACATATCCATGACCAAGAATTGCAAAAATAATGGGCAGGCTAAGGAGGTAGGTGTGTGTGTGCGTGCATATATATACACAAATATATGTGTGTGCCCATACTTTGGTACTGCTGAATGCAATAAAAAAGAAAGGTGCACAATTAGATATTATAGCTGTTCCTATATACAAAATTTCAACATTCTACTACAATTGTTTTTGAGTTATGCAAGATGTACATATAGACATTATGAAAAAATCTATTTTAAAATATGTTTTTCAATAAGGAGTTTTTTTATTGTCTGCATGTACAGACGTCATACAAAAAATAATCAAAGATATTTCTGTTGAAATAGGAATTTTTTTGCAATTATATTTCCTTTACTTCATATAAGGCTGTAAAACTGCATACTTCTGTGTGTGTCCTGAGTTTTAACTCTCCATCAAAGTTACTTAAAAATACCTCTGAAAATCACCAGTTGCCAACTCGTGCTCGTAAGTCAAGACACCACACATCGTCCGAGCTTTTTTTTTTTTTTTTGTGATGCTAGTTTTACCATATTAATATTAAAATTATTTCTAAAAAATCTAAGATTTTTGGTATACTATTTGGTATTTTTGGTATTTTACTCTTCAGTTTGTGTAAATGACCTGAATTTTTAAGGAAGCATGACTTCCTTAAAATTTTTTCTCTTTTATTTTTTAGAACAAATATAAATTATTACTTCATATAATTATACAAACTGGGGAAATGTACACAAAGTTAAGATTATTTCTAAACTGATTTAAGAATTTTAGTATGTACAAATTTAAATATTTTACTCTTCAGTTTGTATACATGCCCAGAATTTTCGCGATACCTGACTTGCAAAATCTCTTATTTCAAGCTTTTTACATCAGCCAGAGCACATGACAAACCTTAAATTTTGACACTGGGTTAACCTCTTTCTCATACACTGTAGGCCCTCAATTTCTTGGAGATGAATCTCTGCTCGCTTAATATATCAACATCAAATCTACTGATTAGCCTGCTCTCTTTTCAATTATGAATGGTGAAACTACATTACACATATTACTTCTATTCATATAAGCACAGTGTATTTATCATATTATATTCTTTTCCATACTATTTTAGGTTTGGTATGATTTAAAAAATTTTTCTTTTGAAGACTTGAGAATTTCAAATCAGCACTCTATTTCTCACAAAGCAAGAGAAACTGGCAGAATACATCTTCATGCTTTTCAATATTTTATTAAAAAATATTCATTATTAATGCCAATACATAACACACAGGAGAAGATATACTATTTCAATATTTTTTATAAAAATGAATAACAGATGAAAAGCACAAAAATAAAATATTATTTATTTAACTAATGTCCCTCTCACAGTACCAGGAAATTTACATTCAAGATTCATCACTTTCTAGATATGGAATTGGGGTAGTTTCCAATTTTAAATTCAATCAGTGGTTTTTAAAATTTTAAGACCTGAAAGGGGATTGCAAGTTTTTTCAAACGTAAAAAGCATTACTGGAGAGGCACATATGTGATAAATTAATAATTATAAAATTAATTTTTAATACACAAAATGATACGAGTTTTTTTAACATATGCACTAGAAATATGGATGATAAGGATTCTTCTTCTGAGGATTCAAACTACAGAAATAAATTCCTTTCTATTACACATTAATCTTTCTTCTTATAATTCATAGAAGTTTCAAAGTGATACAAATTTACAAATATTTCAATATTATTTCACATTTAACTACTGGCCAATTTATAAACATTTTAATATTTTTTAAATTTCATTACTTTAAACTCAATTAAACATACATGTGGGACTACGCCTTAAGTATAGTTCCAAGATGGCCCTAAAGAGCGGCTACTGTATGCATCTCTAGACATGAAGCTCATATATGTCAGTGAGAGAACCATTATTTTACAAATAAGATATCTGATACACATTCTGGGTGAACGTTTTGCTTCCATATGCAATTATTTTAAATACATAATTTTCACTTCTGTCATTACGACACAATTAACTTCTTACAAAATGCAGTTTGAACGTAGAAAGTGCAACTAAAATACTTTAATGAGAGCACATAAACTGCTCAGAATTTACACTAATTTTTTTTTTTTTTTTTTTTTTTTTTTTTTTTTTTTTTTTTTTTTCTTTCGTATAGCAAAGAGCAATCATAAAAATTTGATGACTAAAGACACCTCTCAAAGTTAAATTATCCAGTTTCTCAAAAAAAAAAAAAAAAAAAAAAAAAAAAAAAAAAAAAAAAAAAAACTGCATTAAGGATGAAACTATCTATACATGTTAAAAGGAGATATATCCATATGCCTATTACATAAACAACAAGTAGTACACAACTTTAGCTTCTACCATGTTTTAAGAAGAAATAACAATACAGATTAGTTTAATATCAACTATGATAACAGAAAATAAAAGTAAAAATTTATAATACACTAAATTATATTAAAACATATAGAACATAAATAACACTATTTTTCTCCTCATATTGTCAGTTAAAATCAGAAATCAACTAAGATAGAAAACAAATAACAAAATAAAACAATTTTACTGAAGTATGAGAAAGTGGTGAATTTACTCACTTGGCTTAAAAGAAGGTTCTAATTTTAAGTCCGCAGAGGGTATGGGAAGGCGACCATGAGCCCTTTCATCTGGGCCGCCTTGCATTTTATCTCGCCTTTCACACAAGTATCGTATTACTGTATTGATTTCCGAAAGAGAAATCCACCGTCCATCCGCTAACATTCTAAGAAGAAATTGGATTTCTCGATCTGCTGACACAACTCCAACGTAAGGACCTCTTTCAGCTCGCTCGCGTTCCATATGTTCTTTTTGCAAACGTATATGCTCGTGGAAGTTCCGAGATAGCAACTTTAATGCGTCTTCTAGCGGCATATTACGATGCTCTGCAAACAGATACAAATGTAAGATGCAAAAATCTATCATGAAGCAAAGAAATTTTACACATCATAAAAGCAAACATATTATGCACACAACCCAAAGGAATTTAGAACTTTTCAACTACCAGACACTGATCAATATGTATTTATTTAATTTGTCTTAAATTAAAAAAAAAGTCATGAATTTCAAGTATGCATGATTCAAATAAAATACTAAACTTCAGTTTACAAAAACATAATATCAAAAGAGCATTAAAACTCAATTATTCTCAACACACTTTTCCCTATATACTCTGTAGGGAAAAAAACACCTACCCACGGTAGGCAGAAAGGTGGATAGTGATGAAACTGGTCAACCGAGAGCAACCAAACACGAAAGTAAATTTTGGGAACCCCCCTTTTTTTGGTTCACCAAAACTTCACAAATGATCTTACAGGTTTCAAATAGTCCTTTGATCAATGGCGCACACTCTGGGAGAATGGATCCATCTTCCACCTCTTTCCCTATCAACAGATCACCTGAAAGGAGTGGACTTCCAGTATTTTAAAAGTTCCCATGCCACACAGGCACTATACACTTGAAACATCCATACCTTCTCCACAATTTAAACCCAGCCCTATGATACAGCAGTCAGCTTTGCTAACGACTATACCATCCAGAGAGACACATGGGGGAGATAATGAGGAAAATATGAAAACAATTGGAGAATCAGTGGCATAATTTATTTCAGTAACACAGGCCTATAACTGTTACACATTAACATGGCAAACACTCAATTTAGACAATGCTACATTCCGGCAATATTAAAAGTTTGTATGAATGTTTAATGTTGTCCTGAGGGATATCTTGCGAGTTCAGTTTAACTGTGCATACAGGTCAAACATGTTTTGTAACAGCTGAAGTTAGTGGCCACCATTTTCAAGCATTGAAATCGGACAGGCATTGAGATGGCTATGGGAAGGCTGTCATGGTGTGGAGAAAGTCTGCAAAAATGTATGCTGAATGTCAACAAGCACTATCATGTTGCAAAGTAGCACCATGCAGGTCCACCAGCATTTTTACTACAATATGCCACAGGATGTCCTGAACATGACACTGGCTGGTCAGGGTTGTGAGCAGAATAAATAATGGTGATAGGGTATGTAACAGCATCCCACTTGGTAACTCTAGGCATGATGGAAGTATACCACTCCACGGTGATGTACACTGAGCAAGCGGTTGGCATGACCACCTTCACATATGGAGATGATGGTTGTGAAGGTTAAGCTAGAACTTGGTTTTACACAGAAAATGATACAACTCCAATCCACTAAGTTCCACCTGACATGACTGCAGCACGACAGCAAACTGCTACTCACGATTGGTTTTAACAGCGGATAAAACGGGTGTCAACAATGCATTCCACCTTCCATCAGTCATTTTTCAATGGTTCTACATGACATTAGATATACTATAAATCTGAGCAGGTGCCACTGAATAGTGACAAATGTAGCCATCAGTGTGGTTATGGTAACATGCATAAAGTGATCCTCCATGCCTGTTGCTCTCCTCAGTCCAATGACAAAGGGCATACTGGAACCACTGTTAACAGCATAGTCTTAATGCTTCTCGAAAGAAAATGACAAGTCCTCTTTGGAACTTGTTTAATTATGCCTTGGAGGGAGAATCCAAGGCATTATTTCTTTTTATCTACAGCACTATACTTTGAAAAACCCACCTGAACTTATAAGGTGAGAAAATGCTAGACTTTTTCTAACTGCCAGCTTGCTCTATTTCAGTATACATGCAAATGCCCTCTGCATTTAATGGTTGTGCATGTTTAGTGATGTGCATAGGCCTGGGGCATTTGCATGTTCAATGCATCAATTTGTTTTTGCTACAGAGAGTATTTAACCATTTAATGGTTAATAAAACATGAACAATACCGATTTATTTTTCAAAGCTTTTGAAATGGTTCTTCTCTATACATGATATTACAAAAATCTGAATTTTGATAGCAATCTCAACACAAGACCCATCTGGTCTTCCCACTGGACTTCTTATACAAACCACTAATTGTTTCTCTTAGCAACATATAACACTGCACATATAACATATTTCATTGGCTCTCAATCCTATACTTAAAAGGGACCCCAGCATATGACAAATTTTTAATTTCACAGATGACTCCCTCAAAAAGTTATCAATGGTTATTATAAACTTCATCACAACTGTTTTAGTACCCTTAAATCCCTGCCAAATTTGCATGAATAAACATTTAAAACAAAACCTACTTTAATAATTTATAATGTGTGCATAAATCGCATAAGAAGTAAAATATATGTAGAAAATTTTTAAACTTACTTCTAATTTCTTGCAATTTAGATCTAAGATTTCTGATCTAAAATATCTGAATTTTAATGTTTTGAATTAAAGCTCAAAAGGTATATATGAATTTTACGTGGATATGAAGTTTTTACCATCTAAAAATTCTATTACATCGTTAAATTTTATTAATTTTTAAAGACATATATATAAACACTTTATTTTCTTCAAAGTTTTTAACAAAATTTTTAAATCAATTAACTGACCAATTTCTTGCCATCTGACAACTAAACTGTAGCTATAAGCCATCATATGAGCAATTTCCATTTACAGGATTAGATTTTACGCAGTTTCCAGCGACAGAACAGCTTGCAGTTAAGCCAACAAGTCAACAAAATCAATCTATATATGTTAATGCTTCTAATATCTGTATATGTCTACTTATGGTTAAATCTTGTACAGGTTATGGTTAAATCTTGTACAGCAGAAAACTGCTGGAATTGTGGTAAATTATATGCAGCATATTAACCTTTGAATAGTCATCAATGAGCTCAGATCGCATTACGAATTTATGACCGACAGATATAGCACATATGTGGAAAGAAAAAATTGCTTAATCTTGAGACTCCAAAAGGTTAAGATTTTTTTATAGCGAGTTAGTCAAACTCACTGCAAAACCTACTTACTTCACAAATTGACAGGTTAAGTGAATATGGGAGCTATCTGCCATAAGAGACAAAGAAGAGGTATGTAAATGTCTTTTCAGAAGACATTTTACAGAAATACTCATGCCATGCATTTAGAAATCGATGAAAACATTTTGCAACTAGCCCATTTGCTGGGGATAGATATATGAACATTTAGAGGTATTATACTGCATCTACCAATGGTAGGCACTGTAAGAAATTGAAACCTGCCCATCTTGATACTTACGCTGTTTTTACTGATACTTATGCTGCCCCTTTTACTTATGCTGTTCACAAACCATTCAGCTACTTTTTTAATGATCTTTCCCCACACTTAAAGTTCTAAACTCTTTTATACCTGGGAAATTTTTAACAAGATTCTATGTTTTGCATATTATGTTGGTCAACACCAAGTCTATATGGTAATCCTCTGGCTTACACATTATACGGTTTACATAAAATCATAACATTCAAAATGAAACCAATTAGAAACAAGGACTCCATAATTAATTTCTTCTTTCCATTTTTAATTCTATTATACATGGTAGTGTATTATAATCTACAACAGCATTCCTTAAAATTCCCTTACTTGGGCACCCTCTTGACCTGCCACCGTTGCTCCATTTATGAATAATTACTAGCATCTACATTTATAGGTACATAAATAATAATAACTAATAACCATGGTCTGAGAAACACCACTCTAAAATACATTTCTTCATTTCACTCTTGCAATTTAGAACAAATATTTGAATCCTTTATATATATGAAATGGATACAGTAGCGTATGGTATATTTTGCATTATTTTATTTTGTAATATGCCACATAATACTAATAATTTCTATACAGTATGTATAAATGGCAATACAATACACGAAGTACACTTAATGTCGGCAATATCTTTTAATTCATAGATGATAAATTATGCATGACTGCTTTTATATATGCTTCACGAATACCTGATTAATGAAGCTTTGTTATTATCAACACAATAAGTCTTTTAATGCATTACGTTATAGGATATTACTGTATGCGGATTACCACACTGCATGAAAATAGCATTTACTCTGAAGAAATGCACCGTACTGCGGAAGGATCATCATCGATGGTCAGATTTATCTGGGAAAACACGTTGGTTAAACTCAAGGAGGAAGGTTCGCCTTCCTTCCCCGTGCTACCTGCCACTATGCGGCAAGCTAAGCGCAGAAAATTTCGAATTTGAAATCGCAAGTGGTTTCGTACACACATGGAGGTGCCTAGTACTTTAATCGCGGTCGCATTACAACGAAAAGAAGGTGTCGGATTTTCGGACAAGACGCTAGGTTCAAAGAGTACCGCCTCACAGGTGTGATATCCTGGCAAACTACGTGGAGCTCACGACTTCAGTCACCTCGTACGACTTTTTTCGCAAACAGAACCGAACCCCAGATGTCCTCGAAAGGGGAGTAATTTATTTCACATATTTCGAATGCAAACAGAACCACTCGGGGATCCATACCGATAAAAATGACAACTTTGAGCAGTGGCTCACTCAGCTCACTGATCAATATGTTTCCGTCGCTACTTCCCCGTTCGTTCTGGGAGTAGGTAAATTCGCCTTTCATGCCTGCAAGAGAATCAAAGAATCTCAAACAGTCTTATTTTTTTGGTATTGCATAAATTTTATTTTGCACTTCATGATCTCAAGCAAGAGTACGTAATTTTCTAATTTACATGTTCCTTCGCAACGATTACATACGTTCGAGACCGGTTACTCCATTTATCACAGCATAGTTTTCAGTCACATGTAAATTATCGTTATTTTACGCATTCTCTTTGCACTGTTAGATTGTGACGTTGCCTACAGAAAGAAAAATAGCCTTACACGTACGAAAAGACAAACAAAACTTACATTAGATACCTATTGCAACTACATATACGGTAAAAGTTCAAGGAATGCCGAATGACGATTACACGAAAATTCCGAATAATCAAGTATATAAAAAATCTAATCGTGGTAGAAACATCAAATGAA